TATATAGCCTTCCTTTTCATTTATTTAATGCCACAAAGAGAATGTCCTTTGGAAATTTCCACTTACCAAGCATTCCTTTCTTGGAACTGGATAGACACATGTCTTTCTCTGCACTGGGCAGGGCAAAGCTCACCACAAACACTTCCACTCCATCAGCCATCAGCGCCAAACCCAGGACAAAAAAGAGAGTCCACTGGAAGCGCCCGTGGCCACACTCATCAATGATGGTCTCATACTGGTGGGCCAATTGTTCCTCATCTTCCATCCTCTCAGCCATCAGGTCAGCCTGGCCCCGAAGGCCATCTGCCCTCGAGGGTGCCATCTTGGTCTGCTTGACCTTGACATCATCTGGATGAGGGATGCCCTGGTACTCGCCCTCATAGATCTCATCCTCCTCATCGTGGCCTTCTGTGACATCACTCTGTGCATCTTCTTCTGGGTTGGACTCATTGCCCCGGTAATAGCCATCACTGTGGCCATAACCCTCATAGCTGTCCCGATACTTGTAGTCATCCATTCCTGGGTTCCGGGATTGCCTGGTTGCCTCTCTATATCTTTTGCTCTGTGGTAGATGTTTGTGCTGTTTCAATAACCATCATCCATTATATGGTTGAAATGGTGACTGTGTTCATGTGACTTCAGTGAAAATCACACCTATTTTCTTTGTGTCTCCAATCCCCCAGATTCCTTCAAAGACAACCTAAGTATCAATGTCTGGTAGAAGTCTTTGGAAAGTCTCAAACTCTGGCCTGGTTTCCTCTTCTGACCCAGAGGCTTGTGCAGGGAGGTGCTGATTAAGAATGGGTCTAGCTGCTCTCCTGACAAGGTGCAGGCAGCACTTGGCAGGTCACTATGATGACTGGTTCTGCTACTGAAGGTTATGCCCTGGAAGAGAGACAGGAAACAGAAGAGTTACAGGAGGCTGTAGTTCTGACACGATGTCCTCCAAATCAAATTAATATCTTTCATAATGTCCACACTTCATGTGCAAGGTAGAAGAAATCATGATTAGACATTTGAATTCACATTAGCTGAATGAGGACTGAGTCAGGGAGCCTGAAAGGAAGGAGAGGAAACCCTGGACAGAGAGGCCCTTTGAGCTCTGATTAACCCAAGTGAAGGTCAAATTTTACACATGAATGAAATATGAAGTGGTCAAGGGATTTTCAGCACAAAGGTGCTTTGTAGATTTCACCTCTGAATTTTTCAAGCATTTGGCAACAGTGGAAGTATATTACAACTCAGTTTCTGTTAGAAAAATGCCTTCCCTTTTAACTTTGTTATAAAGTATCTGTATAATTCTACACCTAGAAATGATGAGTGCAGAAATATTCTGGGTAGTCTTCCCTGAGTCCCAGCTTGCTTTCTAGAATTTTTAATGTGGCTAAATGGTGACTCTGACCTTGTACTTGGATTAAATGGGCAAGAACAGGGAGCTGGAGACCCAGAGGAAAACTGCCTAGACCTGAAGATGATTTTTAAATAACAGATAGGTGAATATGTACACCTCTTTCCAAGCTTCAGTGTTCTCATCTGTAAAGTAGAACAGTAATTGTACTTAACTCAAAAGGTTACACACCAAGTACCTGGCCTGCATGTCAATATTATTTTAAGATATAACATTATTGCTGCCTTCTTTTCTTTTTTTCTAGTTCCAGTTCTGGGGAACAAGAAACCAACATTGTTTAGGGTCAAGGTTAGGGTCTTATAACTCAGTTCTAACCACTGGGTTCTTCTGTTGGGTCCAACACTCAAAGGCCAGATATCCTGCCCTAATTACCTTCTAGGATCTCAAGTTTCACAAGATTTGGAGCCATCATTGAATGATGCCTACTCCTACAATGTACCCAAATGTGGGTGAAAATGTGCTACATCCTTATTCATAACTCTGAAACTAGAAGGGGCACAGAAGGGGAGAGAAAGGGGGGTAGAAGGAATGAGGGAAGGAGGAGGGAGTACTTCATATTATAGATAAAGGAACAGTGGCTTACAATGGGTTATTAACTGAATCAAGGTTACAAAGCTAGGATTCCCTGCAAGGTCCACTAGTCCTAAAGCCAGTTCTTTCCAGGCCCTTGCGCTTCCTAAATGCTATTCTGAGGGACTGACACACTCGATCACCTAGGGACTTTGAAAGCACAGTTTCCCAGAGTCCTGCAGAAGGGCTGATTAGTGTAGGAAATCAGGATGCCAGGCCCTAGGGTGAGGTGAGCCTAAAACTTATAGGTCCAGGCTGCATTCTCTGCTAAAGGGAGGGGCACTGAAAACAGTGGCTCTGATAATCCCTGTCCTACAGAACACTGTTAGTCTGGCAGGAGGAAGCAGCCTGTCATAAAAGTTCAGGCTCCCTGCTCTGTGGGAAAGCGTCTTGTTCAACAACCCTTAGCTCATCTCCTTGTCCTAAACAAATAACTCAGCTATCCCTGGCTAAGAGATTAGGCCAGGTTAAAGGTTTACTCCTGAGCTAAAAGCTAAAAGTTCACCATGCTTTTAGCTTTAAGAAAGAAAACATTGTGGCCAATAAATTACTGGATGGGCATTGATAACCTTGAGTAAAAGTTTAAGAATCCTTCTGGCACCAACTAACAGACTAAATGTCCTGTTTCTTTGTACCCTAAATATTTGCATGTGACTGCCATATCCCACGGGGCTGCTAGTTCCTTGGGATGTATAAAAACCATCTGAATTCTAAAATAAATCATCCTGTTGGGAAGACACAGGTCCCAGAGTTTGTGACTCTGTCACCGATCAGACCCTCTGCCCCGAAGCCAGCAGGTCCCCCGCTAAGCAAAGCAAACCCGAGTCCCGACAGATTAGGACTCAGAAATTTGAGTTTTCACATAGCTCCCCATAGTCCTGAGGCCACACCTCACTGAACAGACCCTCTGCTATAGAGGTGAAGTCCTTCCCTTACTCTTTCCTTCATTCCTCAAATTTCTTCCTATCCAGGTTGCCAGAAACCCATTCATCAACTCAGCCCACCTGCCAACAAGTTTATATGCTACCAACCCTTACAGGCCTTCCTGCCCCACCTAAAACCTATAGCCTTTCCCTACTATCAGCAGATACCACCTCACAATGAACTGGACACATTTGCCCTTGTAGCTGTGGCTGCTGGACATCTCTCTTGACCACAGCCCGTTTCTGGGCCCTCTACCCCACACCTGCCACCTGGTTCTCCTCCCCATAAGCCTTGGACAGACTCCAGCTCTGGGGATCATCTAACCCAGCAATACAGTGTGTTTTCTCCTAGAAAGATGACAGAAAACAGTGGTCCTCAAATACAGGGTGGGCCAGAACCACTCAAGTGGCTCGTTAGAAGTAGGATCTCAGAGCCTGTCCTCCAAAGACACTGAACTACAAAGTGGGACTCTGGACTGGAAGTCTGCATTTTTCACCAACACCACTAAGAACCCAGGGGACATTAATTGAAGAAACAGTGCTATAGGACTGTGCTACAAATGACTCTCTTTCACACTTTGAGAATTTTCCCATCTCCAGGTAATAAATTTATATTAGACCAGACTGGTATGGACCATGTTAGATTAATATTCTAAATCTGTTTTTATTATACACATTTAGGAACCCCAGAGGAATATAAATTACATGTAAACAGTACGAGAGTTTGTAGAGTGCTGTCAGATGGAGAAGACAGGCCAACCACCTGAGATCTGCTATATTATTTCCATTCTGGGGCCCTGCAAAAATGGGTCAGGAATGAAAGATTTTAACTCTGAAAGCACATGAGAAATAACAATTTGGGCAAAGGTTCTGGGACTTGCTTTGTGGAAAGAAACAGAGCTTTGTCAAAGCTAATCCCACTCTCCTGATAAGGTTGAAGGAACTGCTATAAATGTCAAGTGCAGTGAAATAAAGAGGCCTCACTGTCAAGAGCTTTTAGTATTTTCCAAAGTTTCTACCCCATTGAGAAATGTCAAACTTTTTTGCAGAAGAACAGTTTCTAGAGAACACTATGGTTAGTTATTTGCAATATTATGAGTTAATTTTTTTCCTTCCAAAAAGATATGCTGAGGCCTGACCCTCAAGATCTCAGAATGTAATCTCATTAACAATGAGGTCTTGAGACTGGGAACCTACTTCAGTGAGTAAAAGTGTCTGGGGCACAAGCAAGGGGACTTGAGTTCAGATCCCTAGTACCCTCGTGAAAAAGTACTGGGGAGTAGGTGGGGACAGAGAGGGAGCAGAAGACAGGAGGATGACTGAGGCTTACGGGCCACCAGACTGGCTGAGAAAACAATGAGCTCCAGGTTTAGTGAGAGACTCTGTTTGAAGGGAATTAGGTGAAGAGCCATAGAGAAAGATACCTGGTAGCCTCCTCTGGCCTCAGCACTCATGGGTACACATACACGGAGGGAAGGAGGGAGGGAGGGAGGGAGGGAGGGGAAGATTTTTACAGAAGTAATCAAATATTAAGATGAGGACATTAGGATGACCCCCAATCAATGTGATTGTGTCCTTATGAAAAGGAGAAATTGAGACATGGAGACAGATGTGCATCTGGGACAGTGCCATCTATAAGCTACAGCAAACCCAAGACTACCAGCAGATGGGAGACAGATCTGGGACAGTCTCCCTCCCAGCTCTCAGAAGGAACAAAGCTACTGACACCTTGATTCAGGACTTTAAGAACCTCCATAAAATCTGTAGTATTTGTTATTGCAGCCCTATGAAATGAACACATTCAACAAGCCTGGTGTTTATCAACTAAATAGCAATGAAAAGACACTTACATGAGCAACTGTTAGCTGAGCACCAAGATGGTCAAGAATGGAACAAGATTATTTTCTCCATATCACATGAGAAACTGAAGACTAGAAGGACAAAAGAATGTGTCCAAATCAACACAGAGAATCAATATCAGGGATTGAGTCTGAAGTTGAGTTCAAACAGAATGGTAGAAATGGTACAGAGGAAGAAACTGGACTCCAAGGATGCAAGTCAGGGTCCAGTACTGGGTTGGCAGCAGATCAGGAGTCAGCTTCTACTCCTACGTTTGAATTTGTCTGCCCGTCCTCAGCAAGCATTCCCCAGGATCTTTGATGCTTAAGGCCCTGAGAAAGTCAGACTAAAACAATGCCCAACATCATGCAGTAATGAAACTTACAACCAGATGGTTAATCTTCATTGTTAACTTGACTGAATTTAGAATCACTTGGGAGACATCTCTGGGTATATCTGGTGTTTCCAGACAGGCTTTTCTGAGGAGGGAAGACCGTGAGTGGTACCGCCATATGGGCTGGGGTTCACACAGAATAGAAAGGAGAAAGCAAGTAACAATAGGCATTCTGCATCCTAATTACAGATGCGATATGACCAGCCACCTGGCACTCCTACCAGCACACCTCCCCCACCATGATGGACTGTATCTTCAAACTGTGATCCAGAAAAAGCCCCTCCCTTGAGTTGCTTTTGTCAGATGTTTAGTCACAGCAATGAGAAAAATCACTAATACACAATCTTAATATTAATCACGTTATCTTTCATTTATTGAATATTTGCATTATAGCTTGGGGCCATGCACTGGGCTTTGCTTCTTTTTACCTGCATAAGAGTCCTGTGTGGAGGAACTATGATTACCACCCAGAGAACAAGCCTGGGAATGAAAAAGCCAGACAACCCAGAGTGAGAAGAAAAGGCTGTCTAAGGGGATTCACTGTGGGCTGGAATCTGCTGAGGTAGCACCCTAGAAGTAGAGTGATGTCCAAGGGCCGAAAATGACTCAGAGAAATGGGTACCACAGGCTAAAGAGACTGGCTCTGGTGTTTGGGCAGCAGTAAGAAGCTAGCTGGCCCGCAGCAGGTGATGCACAAGGGGAAGTATGGGGAGGGGGGGTGGAGAAGGAAAAGAGGTCCCTCTCAGCGCCC